GAGCACACATGGGGCGGCAGTCACCACCTGGCACGCATAGCGTAGTTGAATACCGACCCACCCCTATACGTACACGTAACTACGTACCCTGAAACGGTGCGCGGTGCGACCCCAACCCCTCGACTTGGCTCGTGCCGGCGTACATTGTCGTAGGACGATAGACGACGACGACGGCGACGATGTTCGAAAGGAGAGACACGAAGGAAGATAGAGGAGAAAAGATGGGCAAAACATCGCGAGCGAAAAAAGATCGGATTTTTCAACCCTTCTTTACCCTTTTCCCGTGTTTCCCCTGTGTCTTTCGTCTCCCTATTTTTCTCGGATTCGTTCGTACGTTCAAACTATAGGCATCGTACGCCGCTGCGTGCGATTCCGATGTCTCGTGACACGACATATACGACAGCGATGTACGCCAGTGACAGGACAAGAGTCAACGAACTTGGCGGACCCAGCTCGATACGCTGATTGTGATATCGATTACTGCGCGGGGCCGTTTGTACACACTCACACACGCACGATCGAATATGTTCTATTGTAATCAACGGTGTGTACCCACTCGGTGGCGAGCGGGTGGGAGCGACTAGCTGGTGAATACTTGCCCTTCCTCGTGTCCACCAATAGCGAGATTCTGTATTGTGAGGGTCGATAGGTTATCGGTTAACCGGCTCGTGGATGCCACGTGCGGGTACATTATGTGCGAATGTACGGTTTTTATCGCAAGTAATAACGTTACAACCATTCTATAACGTATAGATCTAATCGAACAGTTTTATTCGTTAAACGGTATAAAAAAAGAAGAGATCCGTATTAAATGAGATTAATTTATTCATATCTATGTGAAATAATTTCATGTCTCAAGAAAGAGATTAAATAATAACATTTTTTTATATTAATATTTTCTTTATATAAAAAATATCTTTTACGAATATTTTATTAATATTTTCTTTATATAAAAAAATATCTTTTACGAATATTTTATAAACATTTTTTAAGAATGTGATTATGTATACGATAAGTCTTGATATTATCTATATTAATCAGATAATTACATCGTATATGCATATTTAAATGAATACTTAAATACATTTTTTTTTTTGGAAGTTTAAAATAATCATCTATTCTAATCATCTCTCTTTATGACCTGAAATAGAGAGAAAGAGAATAAATCTCGAGAAATGGGTCAATGTTATCTTATCAGCGGTTGCCACGGCAGTTAATGTATTAACTGAGGTTTAACACAAACTAATTATAAAAGAAAATTATGTTCACAATATTCTCTCTTGTATCGTTTAAAATAAAATATTTATTCTCACTACACGTAACACGAAAGAAAGACATTAAAATGACTCTCTCTCTCTCTAAATAGATTATAATTGCATAGCTTATCGATTAGTTGTAATTAACGTTTACGAGAACGGTTTATCTGATCATTTGCGACAGATAGTCGAAAGATTTTATCAACGTACTGCTTGCCTAGTCGCCTCTACATATCTCTAAAGGACCGCCGGAGATACACGTGTGTCGGGCTATATCCAGCACTCGAGATCGCCGAGGGGTAAGGAAATTTCTCCCATGGCATGGATTTTAGCGCGGAACGCGCGGGGCACAGGCTGTGCTTTATTTTTAACATCCCGCACTCGCGGGATTTGTACCCTTATAATCGTATGAGTGTCTCACGCTGGCGGGAAACGGCTGGCGGTGAGTAGGTAGGTGGTGTTCTGGTATTTGCCTGTGTAGGAAACGGATGTCGTGAGGCGTCAATCTAAAATTAGAAATGTTCCCGATACGCCTCTCTCTCTCTCTCTCCCTTTTCCTCTTGCGCGGTATTAGTATTATGATTTGGTGCCTGCTTGCCATGCACACACGTTTTGCTCCGTGGCTTTGCTCTAAACTGGAGTCACGACCGTTGAAGCGTACTTGCACATGTTACGCAGCCGCAGCGGCTGCGACTGTCGCTCGCTCGGGATATCGCGTTAATTAATAGGGGGACCGATAGGGAGGTCGACCGATGTCGTTTGCAGTTGACCTTACGTTGATATAAAGCTACGTTTGCAATATTATTATTAATTTCAACTTGCTGACATGTGTCGACAGATATGGATGGATCGATGGGCGTTTTATTGTATCCTGTAATGATTTTCTATGTTTTGTATCTCGTCAACGTTTGTCGGTATCTTTGATTAATGAAAAATCAATATTAGAATCGATGTACATTTTGCGCGAATTTGACATATTATTTAAAAAAAATAGAGATCTTTTAAATACGTTATCGAGTAATTAAAAAATAAAAAATTACTTTATCTTGCCGCTATCATTGTTATTAGTGACATTCTTTAATAATTAATATTGATACATGTGGCTAATAAAACTATTTGATTACATAATTAATCGCTATTTTAATCTGGTATTTAAAATTTTGAATCGAATTTTGAGAAAGTAAAATCTAATCAAATTTAATTAAACGATAAAGCTTTCGCGTTGATGGCACGCCATAAATTCAATTCTCAAAAGCATTGCATATTCAGCGTACAACACGTAAGCGACACTTTGTCAATTTTCCGTAGCCTATATAATAGATCACGCGATACTTTTGACATTGAGATAATTTCGCGTGACAGGCTCAGTAAATTCGCTGCCATCGCTTAGGTAAAAGGGCAACGTGGCACGAGTATCGACGTGAGGGAAGCGGACCGAGAAGAAACGTTGAAAACAACGATACGTTGAACCGCGCCTTACGAGGCCAAGGTTCTCGATTTCAGGCGTTCGTTGCGTTCCCCTGGAAATTCGCGTCTATCCTCGTATTACGTTCGTCCCGACACGAGGTAGGGACTAACCGGGGAGTGCGTACTGCGAGGGTGCGTGTCACGGCGAATGCCTCGACTTCCTGCGGAAGTTTATTACGTAGGTAAGCAGGTACATAAGAGATGTGGCTCGCGATTCGTCTAGTCCTGTGTCTCTTACGTGTCATCCGGTAAGGTTCGCCATCCTTCAACTTTCGCGCTTGTACTTTTTGCATTCAATCTCGTTTTCGAATGATCTGTCATGCGACTCGTGCTTCGCTTTAGACGTTCAATTCAATCTCGATGACCGGCCTTGAAAAGTGCATCTCATTCATCCTTAAAGATAGAGATCGAAAGGTGTAAAGCATCGGCCAATGGTCGATTTCTGAGAAAGAAAATTCCTGCAGCGAAATCTGCCATCTTTTGTCCGACATCATCTCTCGTTTTGGCGCGAGTTGCCCTAAATTTAGGAGCAACGCGGGAGATGCTCCTGGCGCGGTAGGAGTCCTCGTGTTCGAGATAAAATCGTTCGCGGCAGTAGACAATATATAGTATAATAATATAATATAATATAGTAAGACAAAAATATATATAAAATATAAGATAAGATAGTTACTATATACATATATGATTATTAATCTTGTAAGTGTTTCAATTTACGCTGTTTTTGATAATTAAATAACAGAGTATTTGCACACATTTTTTAATTGATACTCCCCATAAATTTGTTATAAGAAGAGAATACACGATATTCTTGCATTGTTTTAAATAAAATAATATAAACAAAGGAATTATGTAGTCTTAAATAAATAAATAAAATAAATAATTTCCTAAATAAATTAATTGATCTCTTTACGTAACACGGAAAAGATATTTAAATGTATATTTTAATAGTTTATAAATAAAAGAAGATGTGCAGACGCCATGAAGACGACTCGCGTGAATCGAAAAAGAAAAAAAAAAAAAAATGATTTGCAAATGAATCGAAATGTCAACAGTAGCGTAGATTCAAGTCATTAGAAGCAAATTTGTAAGACGGATAAAAGATAATACTGTAACATACATGCTACATCGTAACGTTGCTGAGGATGTTCAACGCTTCGTATCCCTCGTCTTCTCATTGGTGCGACATGAAACGATTAAACGACCAGGTCCCTCCACGTCTCGCATTCTTCCGGCCTAACTGCAGACTGGTCTTTTACATTATGTGTAGGAGATAGGGGGTTGACTTTTGCGCGGCGAGCGGAAGCAAACGAAAGTCAACGCGAACTAACAAAGTCACGTGTGTCTTGCTTTAAATATCATGAAGTAAATATTTCACCTATGATAATTATTTAGTTATCTGGGAGATATTGCAAAACGTTGCAAAGTAAACTAAATCGAACACATTTGATTGGAAAAATTAAATTATCTTTTTTTTTTTTTTCGAACAATTAAGCCGTAACAAATGATGGAAATTATCCCATGGCTCGGAGACCTAGGATAACACAAACTTTCTCATCCCACATGGTACGCACATGCGAACCAAATTTCTCGAGTTTCAAAATACCTGGGGGGGAGGGGGCAAAGCCGCGCAAGAATCGCTCGAATGGGATTTCACTGAAATGGATTTAATTGAAATACGGGCGAGTTACAGATGTGGCGGTAGTTGGTTTTATGAGACAGAACGTGACAACAATGATGACGGGCAGCGTGATAATTCTTGGACGAGAAAACTGATTATTATCTGTCTCCGCGGTTTCGTCTATACCTTTGTTGTGATCGGACCGATTATTATCGCGATGAGAGAACGAAAAGCCAAGAGACCAAATAAACGAATAAACGGGACCGCGAGACACGCGTGATCTCATAGCGGCGTCTTCAAGATGATAGAACTCGCGCCCGCGTCCAGGTTTGCGTCTTGCATGCGGTTAAGGAATTGGCGAGAATAGCGAAATAGAACATGAGAGCTCTCCATGTGCTGCCCCATGTGAAAGAGAACATGTGTTCTCTCCCCGGTAATCACGGACCGGTCTTTTGTTCGCGGACAATCCGCCGTCTTCCGACGCGCTCACGAATGCGACTTTTATATTTATTGTGATTTCTCGACCAATTGTCATTTTAATTCTCTCGAAAAGCCAAACGTTCTTCCTGTAATATTGATTTCGGCGGCAATCTCTTGAGCGCGCTGCTGAAAAATACGATCTCGCTTTAATAACGTCCTCCTCTTTCTGCTTTCAGATGCTTTCGGCGCCTCGCATCGCACGAACGATCAGAGGAGCGAAGGGTGAGTACATCATCTATATTATCTGTATTATATTTTAGCATTTGTGTGAACATTTTTCGTTGTTAATGTTTACCGTAACATTGCTTTAATTTGCGATCAAGATTCCACTACCAAAAACACATAACATTAAAAAAAAAAAAAAAAATTAAGAAAGAAAGAAGCACTATTTTATTTTTCTGATTCGAACCTGCATTTTCTAAGAAAATTATAAAAGTTATCAAAGAATATTACGTTAATTAAAAAAAAAGAAGCATACTCGTGACGAAGACTATAACTTGCGCAAGCTATTATTATATCTGTTAAGGTCCTTAAAGCCGCTGGTTTTTTTAATCTACTTTCCTTCCGATATCGCGTATCCATTGACGCTCTCTAAACGTGCTACGACGTGCCTGAACTGACTTTAAAATAAAAGGCATCGCGCGCGCACGCGATCAAGAATAGTCGCACAATTATTAATTCGTAGGAAGTTTGTGTACAATTCGTCAGTTGCGTGAGAATTTGACCCTTCGCTTTTCCACTCGTTACGCTACTACCGCCGGCTCCATTCATGCTTCTGGTTCATTCATCGAATCTCTCGCCGAGATCCTTTCTCTCCTTAGATTTGGTCTCTGCGTCGTAGTGGATACTATATACTCAAAATCCCGGGTTTAAGTCCACGCAGGACCAAGTCTCGGCTTATGATTTCTCGACTTTCCTCTCGTTTCTTCCTCCGCTCCCTCTCTCTTTCTCTCTCTCCCTCTGCATTTTTTTTTTTTTTTTTTTTTTCAAACGAATATATACCCTTGTAAACAAAACAATAGAAATCTTTGAACAATAGGCGGCGGAATGCGAGTGATAGAAATGAATGTAGAAGTGCATCTGGCGTGCGTGCGTGTGTTTTTTCGCGTCTTCGTCGCTGAATTTATTTGTTGCGCCAAACAGAAACTTTCTCCGCCGCGGCGCAGAGTTTCGCGAGCTGTCACACCCGACAACTGACAAATAACGTATACTGATACGCGCGATATGGCGTCCCGCTTTGCTTGCGAGCTTGTATTTGTTTGCAACGTATTCAACCAGACATATCCGAATATAATAATTCTTTTAAATGTTACAATTCTTTTAGTATTACAAAGCATACAAAACAAATCAACAATTGCACGCTGAATACAAGAAAAGGAAAAAATGTATATCACAAAATTTTACAGTTTTTACAAAATGAAATAATTGAAATAATAATTTAAGAGTAGATTTTTAGTCAAACTTGTAAAATTCTTTTTCGAAATAGAAATTTTCAAGAAAAGCTTTATTAGACAAAAGGATCCAGATCTAATAATATAAATCTCAGAATATAAATGGAAAACGGAACTTTGTTCTTCAATTAAATCTGATTTCATATAGATCAATTTTATTTGAAGAATAAGAATTTGATCTGGGGATTTAATTTTATGTTGTGAAAATTAAGAAGAAAAACGTGAAAACTCGTCAAGAAATTCTTAAAATATTTTACGCTATGTCTTTAAAGTATCTTTTTTTACGTAGAATTTTTAGCAATACCATAATGAAGAAATCGCAAAGATCTAGTGAATGTAAAAAAAAGATATCTTTTGTATGTAAATTTCATAAAATTACAAATAAATATATAATTTCATAAAATATAATTTCATAAAAAAGTATAATTTCAAAAAATTACAAATAAATATATTACATGAAAATAGATAACAATAAAAATCGATCATGATATCATTTTTCTAAGGGCATAATGCAACATTGATAACGACAAAGATAGATTATTCCTCAAGAAAAAACGATTACACGGTCAGGCAACAGAAAATTCCGATATCGTCTTCCCACGATCGAGAGGATGTCTCTCGCGCCTCTCCAGCATATAAACCGTCTCGGCTAAACATTCGTGAAAAAGAACGCAACCAAGGAACGTCGACAGAAAGCCGACGTGATGCGCCTAAGCGATCGTTGCATCTCATTCTTCAGTATTTCCGATAAATCAACCGCTCCTGCTCCTGGCAATATTTTACTACTTGCTGATTCTCTACAAACCTATCTACTTGTCTGTCAAAGCGATAAGAAGCGTAAGAAAACCGATAATAGCAGCTTCTGAAATATATCGATACGTCTTCATGAGAAACTATCAATTGTTAAAAATATTGTGAATCTATAGTTGCTTGTTTAAATATCTTTTTTAGATTAAAGGCGACAAAGGAGTCGATGGTTTTCCCGGAATTCCTGGCCAACCGGGAAGAGAGGGTCAAAGGGGACCTCCAGGACCACCTGGACCTCCTGGACCACTGTCCCAAGGAAAATACGTCCCGGTTCCAGGACCTCCAGGTCCTCCCGGACCCCCTGGTCCGCCTGGATTATCCTTAATCGGACAGAAAGGCGAACCTGGAATCGGTAGAAGTCACGTTTTCGGTGAAAGGGATTATTACGGCTCTAGACAAGGTAAAAATATTAAGAAATTCGATGAAAATTATTATAATTCAATAATATAGATGATAATCTATTGCGACATCACTGCTCAAAAATAATTACAACTAATTTTAATTAAGATGTCCATTCGAATATTATATATTTAATATTGCAAATTAACAATCCATTTTGTTAATAACAGAGATACCTATCCTTTAAATCATTCTAATATTATTTCGTCGAGCACACATTTTATTCCCCTCCCTCCCCCTATCGAATATTTATAAATATAATTAAATTTCACACTCGCATACCATAAGGACCCAGAAGTAGTCTGGACGAATTGAAAGCTCTACGTGAACTCAAGCAATTGAAAGAATTAAAGGAGCAATTAGGTATGTTAGTAATGTGAAATTAAAATAATTATGCAGCGCCATCACCGTTCTTTCGCGAATGCCTTATAAAATAGATTAATTTTTAATTAATTTCAATAACATTTTCTTCAAGGGGTTGTCACTGCCGCTACAAGGGGGCCTTTAGAAAGTACAACGAAAATTGTGCCAGGAGCTGTTACATTCCAAAATACAGAAGCCATGACAAAAGTAAAGTTTTGCGAATCACCATTTCTTTTCACGAACGTTTGAAATATCAACTTTTTAACACTCTCTTTATTTGTACATTATAGATGTCTAGTGTTAGTCCAGTTGGAACTCTGGCTTACATCATAGACGAACAAGCTTTATTAGTCAGAGTTAATAACGGATGGCAATACATAGCAGTCAGTATTAACATTCATTATTATTGCAAATTTAACGCACACACAATATTTAACATTATAATTTTTTATAAAACTAAATTTTTTTAATTTATACAGCTCGGATCACTTTTGCCTATCACAACGCCAGCACCGCCAACCACGGCACCGCCACCAGCAAATCCTCCCTTCGAAGCGTCGAACTTGATTAACCAGATACCCGTGAAAGCTGACGGAACAGGGGTAAGTTAAGAACTTGAGTGGATATTGCGTAAAAAAAATACGTTCGTAGAAATTAATCGTATTAATTTCGAAAATAATTCGCATTTTTTTCCATGCTGCAGTGGTATCCGCGAATGGTGAGATTGTACCATATTTAATTGAAATTTTTCGTCCGTTTCCATCCCCAGAATATAATATGTATTTCGCATTTTTTTTT